AACAGAAAGTACAGAATCAGCTTGGCAAGATAATAACAGGAATATAAGTAGAGGTAATTTCCGCTGAACCATTTGATATATCACTAATGAGCTCGCTTCTACTTTATTTGAATGAAAGCGAGGAAAAGATTCATAGGTTGATTTCCTTTGGCCTGATGACTTTTATGTTGATAGTTTTCAAAAAAGCTCCTTCGTTTCCGGGGGAAAAGGTTCACGAAAAATCAAATGAGGGCAGACCAAGTAGAATCCGCTGTCGTCTTCCGATAGGATTGACCTATGAATCCCTTAGTCACACACTTTCTCAATAAATTAGGTCAATCGCAAAGGCTTAGTTGTGGAGATGGGACATACATGAATAAGGCTTTACAGTAAGTCTAAGTCCGTGAAGTTAGATGATCTCTGACACGGGGATAGAGCCCAAAAAAAGAGAGGGTAGGAGACTAACTAGAAGCTAAAGCGCAGCATGTGCTGAAAGTAAAGCCTTGGGTGTACACCAGATCAAGCAATTCCAGACAGCACTGGGTCACTAAGGCAAAGAATAAACCTGTTTAGAGAACGTAATCTTACCGGGACAAAATTTAATCAGAAAAAGCCAAATCGCCCGAAGATAGACCGGAAATCGAGACCGAGATCAGATAAAAAGGGGCCACTAAAAGCATTGGATTATCAGTAGTTTTGCATCTGCTAATAAACGCAAGATAATTTGATTAAATATTAGGAGAAATTATACCAGTTGTGATTGAATTCATACTGGACTAATAGCGAGACTTACCACGATTAAGGGAAGAAAATTCCTCAGTATCATCATTACCTGCTTGCTCATCCATGTCCGACAGCTCCGAGGTAGTTTCTTCTTGGCCCTCAGGATCCACTTCGTGTGTGGTTCCAATTATATTTCTGGTGGATCCTAACAGCTCGAATGAGGAATCTTCCTCCTTACTTTCTTCCTGGACAGAAATGATTGAGTCCTCCGGGCAGAATGTTAATGATTCCTAAGGGGGAAATGTAAGATATGGATTATAACTGTAAATTATGAAAATTCTATCTATGGCGGTATCAACAATAAATAGGTACCTCCAAAAGGTCTTTTTCGTGACTGAATTTCAAATGAAGAAATATATTATAGAAACGGTTCAAAATATCTATATTTTATTTTAATTTTCATTATTTTAACTTGCTTAGAAACTGTTTTTTATTTGAAATAAGGTCAATGTGAACTGAACTACGGGAAATTAGCTCCATAGTGGACTGCAGTTTCGACCTCACATAGGTCTTATCAACACTCATAGCGGGAGTCGAGCCGCGACAGTGCAGAATTTGAGTTTGACACTTTAACCACTCGTCCGCGGTTGAGAACAACTTTTGGGAAATCAGAGCTATGTGAAATTTAATGAAAACACCAGCTCTACCCATATAATTGTGGGAAAATTCTACTGCCAGTCCTTCATCACCTTAAACGTAACAGGGTCAATACATCTCATATAAATGATTTACTCATAGTCTCAAAACTCTACTTATATACGAAAAATAATTTTCTAAAGTTGTGTGAACTATTTAAGTCACGCGGTGCAGTGAGGATTAATAGTAGCATGTCGAAAATGTACGCTTCAGTACACGGGTTCGATTCCATTAAAGGGATGCTAAAGATACTGATGCGAAGTAGGAACTTTAGTCTAATCCAGCTTATATGAAAATACCTTCTGGGTGGTCGGTCTGAGTGAAATTTAATGGCATCGGGAGACCTACTTATTTCATCGTAAGAAAATTTAATTATCAGCCCTTTATTGTCTTATGCGAGCTAGGGTGACTACAGTTCTTCTTAAAAATAAATAGTAGATATAAAGACCAAGATGGTGTGGCCTTTTGTGTGGTCGCAGTCTCCTTTCGTTGTATAGAAGATGCTTGACGTTGTTTTCGCAACTTGGTCATATTGGTAGGAAGACTTAGACGAACGCACCTTGTCCATTGTATGCGTAATTATTTCCAAAGTCAGACCGTGGACGCGGCACATTCCCAGACGTTTCGCCGGCATCGCAGTCGGCGGTCCTCCTTATCTAGGTCTTACCACAGTCTCTCTCTTGCCCCGTAAGATCAGTCTGCCCTCTCGCTGGTTCACATATTTCACTCGACCCCTGCCACCCCATCTGTGCCACCCGAGACGTTATTGGTTCTAACCTGCGTCTGGGTGACTAATTCGAGGCTCAAGCCTCTGAGTAAGTGTCATGGCCAGGCCTTTGCCACAT